GCCTGTGTTCTAACTTTTTCGGCAAAGCTTCGTTTCTTTATAGTTTCATATTACAAAAATACTACAGTTTTGCTAGAATTATTTTACATATGCACAAAACAACAGTTTTTCATAAAGGTTTGTTGATGGTGTTGCTCCTGTGATCTCCAAACCTACCGTTGACTATGACCAACCAAAATGGTTACAGCCGAAAACATCGCGGACGAAAACGTCGCGGAGAAAACAACGCAAGGCGAAAACGTCGTGATACAAAACATCGCAGTTCTAAAACATCGTGATACAAAATAAAGCGGTTCAAAAATTTCGCAGTTTAAAAGCATCGTCGTCGAGAATATCGTGGTAAAAAATAAAGTATCTACAAATCATGGCATGACGATAACATCGCATACATGCTTTTTTCAGGCTTTAATAATTGTAAATGGATATTTCCATAATGATTTGTGAGCGCCAGATGGAAAGAAGGATAATCTTTACTTTCATATTTTTTATTAACTAATAAATTTTTGTTGAAAAAGTAAGAAGGAAATTTAAGCATAGAAAGTTAAGGCAACTTATAGCACTTAATAGAATTTTAAACTGACATATTTAACTAACAAAGGTCATTACTACTAATAATAATTTTTTATAAAGTTTTTACTGGTAATTTTTCATTAAAAGTATAATCTAAAAATGTTTAGAAAAAGGAAGCTACGTAACTGCATGACCTTATCTATAAAAAATTGCTAATGATAAGATTATTTTCTTCACTTTTGTCAATCTAATACTCTTATAATGAAAATTATTTCTTGTTCTGCTTTAGTTTATTCTTAAGTTTCCTTCTTACTTTTCAGCAAACTTCTTACTTTTTTTTATTAGTTAATAAAAAATATGAAAGTAAAAATTATCTTTCTTTCCATCTCGCGCTCACAAATCATTATGGGAATATCCATTTACAATTATTAAAGCCTGAAAAAAGCATGTCTGCGATGTTATCGTCCTGCGATGATTTGTCGATACTTTATTTTTTACCGCGATATTTTCGACGACAAGGTATTTAAACTGCGAAGTTTTTGAACGGGCTTTGTTTTCGACGATGATATTTTGTACCATGATGTTTTAGAACTGCGATGTTTTCTCTTTGCGATGTTTTGTAGCACGACGTTTTCGACTTGCGTTGTTGTCTCCGCGACGTTTTCGCTGCGATGCTATCGGCGGACACCACCAAATTAGAAGAAAAACTTAGTGAAAAGAATAATTCCCCATTTTAACCTCTGTTATCACCTGAATGTACAATATGACAGCCTTTTAAAGCAATGTCTTCGGGTAAAAGCAACAGTTATTGCTGGTCATCTGGCTCTTGACATAATACACTGCCATCCAAAACTTAAGAAACAGCATGTTTCTCATGTCTAATTTCAGAATGAAGCAACACAGAAACAAGACATTTACAGGATATGTTCACTGAACAGTTTTTTAATGAATGCGACATAGAATGTTTCTAAAGTTCAACACAAACATGAATTACAACAAAAATTTGCAATCTTGGCGGAGAAATCCAGTCTTGAAGAAACAGTATTTCCCAGTTAAAAAAAAATGACGTGTTAACATTACAAAGATGGGTTCTAATAAGGAATGTGTCCACCCCTAGCTGCAATACATTGTTAGCAGTGACGGTCCATGCTGTCAATTAAGTTGTTGGTCAGTGAAATGGGAAACAATGACCAGACATGGAGTAATCCTTGCTCAAGCTCTTCTAATGATTTTAGAGGAGGACATAAAGCAGCGACCTGTCTGCCAAGCTAGTCCCAAAGATGCTCTATTAGATTCAGGTCTGGGAACTGAATCTAATAAATTTAACTGGCCATTCCATTCGCTCCATACAGTGATCCTCAAGATATTCTTCAGCAACCCAAGCTTGGTGCGATCACGCATTGTCATCCATCAGAAGAAATCCAAGACAAATTGCAGTGGCAATATGGGCGGTCACCAAGGATCTCGTCTCGATATCTCACACCAGTCAAAGTTCCTCCATGGAATAAATGCAGGTCAGTGTGACCACCGAGATAGATCTCAGCCCAAACCATTATTCTACCACCTCTGTAACTGTCTTTCCACAATGTGGGATTAGTTGTATCTGGTACATTATTCCCTTCAGATCAGCTGACGACCTGAATCACTTTTCAATGTGAACCTGGACTCGTTCGTGAAGAGAACAGACGACCATTGTTGACTGGTCCAGATGTGTTCTCTTGCCCACCATAAACGGGCACCTCTGTATCCTCGGATCAAAGGCACACAAACAACTGGGTTGTTTTGCATACAGAGCTGTATTGTGCCGGCGTCTTCACACTGTAGTAGGTGAGATTCTTGTTCCTGTTGCAACTAAATGATCTGCCACAAGCTGAGGCACAGTAATGTTACTCCTCCTTCGGGCTGAAAGAGCTAAATAACAGTCTCCTACAGGTGTTGTAAATCTAGGTCCGCCTAGAACATGTCTTTTAGACATAAAATCCTTGGATTCAAACTGATTCCATAGTCGGTGACCACACTGTGAGAGACATTGAGACGTCTAGCAGTATCAGCTTGTGATATCCTCATTTCCATCCATCCGATCTCCTGCCACTTCAACAAATCGGGCAAACGACTTCCTCCTGAACATTGATAGACTCTCATGGATATTGTCCACGAAATTGTAATAACAACTGAAGATCAACACTCGTGAACAAAACTTACAATTTTTCTCCAGCTCATACATAAGTATTCATTTCTATAAAATAAAAGTGGTAGCTATTGTTTTTGCATATATTTTATTAACCTTCATTACTGTCATGCATATGAACTGTGAATTTAAACGTTACTGACAATTTTGTTACGGTGAGTTTTGAAAAACATGCTGTTCCTTAACTTTGGAGAGGTCATTGTATTATGTAAGCACTTTCTGAAGATTTGAACAGACAATGCCATATATTCTAAGTTTGGGATGACACATCCAAATTCATTCGCAGTGAAATAAAGATCATTATGCCCCTTTCTTCTAATCCAACAATATGTCTGAGCAGAAATTCACTTCAACTGCTTACTGTCGCCTGAATTCATCACTGTTCTTGCACCACTAGGATATATAATAATGCTGACATTTTTTCCTAAATGCTTATGTCAAAGTGATAAACTAATATGTTCGAGTTCAAAAACTGTGTTCCTCCCCATTTGCAATAGCACTAATAAATGGCACATTGACAAACTTGAGGTACTGCAGTATCAAACTACACTGGTTGTCATAAATTAAGAAAAAATCATAAAAATAGCGATAACTCCCTCAAAAGTAAGCCAAACCGCATAAAATATGAATATGTTGCCAAGTAAGAGTAGCTGAATAAAACTGCGATATGCAAATTAGTGGCGCAGCTTTCGGAATACGTCATCTGCGAGGAGCATAAAAGTCCATGTTTGAGAGCAAGCCCACATATTTCACTGTGAAAGTGACATCAGAAATCTGAGATAGACAATTCGTAAAAATGGCCTCCAGGCATCATTTGCCTGCAGAACTGCGATTGAGAGCCATTGGGAGACTAGAGGCAGGACAAAGTCAAACAGAAGTGGCCAGATGGCTAAATATGAGTCCTTCTGTGGTTCATAGACTTTGGAGGCGATTTCAAACCACAGATTCGGCATCTAGGAGGTTCAGCCAAGGACGGCCAACTGCTACGACGAGCGCCGATGACCGATATTTGACATGTGCACGCAGGAATAGAACCGCTACTCCGACTCTTCTTAGATCCTCCCTTGCTGCAGCCACCAGAAGGTTCGTGTCAATGTCAACTGTGCGTAGAAGGCTTCACGAAGGTGGTCTGTATGCGAGGCGACCAGCCACTTGTGTGCCGCTCATGCCACGCCGTAGGAGGGACCGTTTTCAGTGGGCACGACATGTCCACTGGACGCCTGAATAATGGAGGGCGGTTTTCTTTACGGATGAGTCCAGGTTTAATCTAGAAAGAGATAGTACGCGTTATTTGATATGGAGAGAAACTAGAACCCGTTATCATCCGTGAAAGAGATGCATACGGAAGGGACAGTGTCTGTGTTTGGGGTGGCATCTCTTTGGGTGGACGCACAGACCTCCATGTCTTTCCAAGGGGAACCGTGAATGCTCAGATTTATAGAGATGACATCCTTAATGTTTATGTGCGCCCATATGCCGGGGCAATAGGTGATGCTTTCCTGTTACAGGACGACAACGCAAGACCACACAGGGCTCGCATCGTAGATAATTATCTTCAACAGGAACAATTATACGTATAGAGTGGCCAGCTCGATCCACGGACTTGAATCCTATCGAGCACGTTTGGGATGTTTTAAAGAGACGTCTAGCTGCTCTCAATCCGCCCCCTCAGACCCTTGTCGCGCTTGCAACTGCTTTGCAAGAGCAATGGCTCTCGCTTCCTATGGAACTGATAAACCGAATAATTGAAAGCCTCACACGTCGCTGTATGTGCTGTATTGCTTCTAGAGGCGATCATATTCCACACTGAAGGTACTTCAAACTGATACCTTCCTATGCAAACTGATACCTTCGATTTGTTCATTTTATACATGTGCTAATTTCTATACTACCATATTTGTCTGGTAATTTCCTTGTATCTTATTCCATACCTTACTATGTGTTGTATATTGTGGGTAAGTTTCATTAAATTCTACATGTAACTTTTTCAGTAATCGTGATTTTTATGATTTTTCCTTAATTTATGATAACCAGTGTACAAGATTCAATCTAATTTCTGGTCTGAGATGGCACAAATAAATTTCATACCATTTAAAGCCCTCCTATATATCATTAATTACTTCCAGGCACTTAAAAATTTGATCCATATCTTAGCTATACTTACTATCCCCCTCTCCCAATTTATGTAACTTCGTAGATTTTCCTTCTTGATAATGTAATTTAAAAGCTGAGCAGTTTATGTACGTATGTGTGTGTGTATACATATGTGTGTACAAATGCAGATACAACATGGCACAGTCATTCTCTATTAAATAGTTTCTTTTAATAATTTAAATTATATGACATGTTACATTAAAAACTTATCTAATAATAGTTGTTGTGAAAAAAATTATAATACATATAAAACAACAATTATTTTACATACGAGCTCAGGATGATGCACAAATTTTCTGATTCTCTTTCCATAGAATATCTTGGGCAATGATGCTGTTTACTAATTTCATTATTTACTCAAATTGTTTCCTTATGTTAAGTATGCAGCATTTAGAATACCTTATAGTAACAATCTAGTTACTCTGCCATATCTAGATGAACCCATGTTGAAGTATTACATTTTATTTGTAAAATAATATATAAGTAATATAAATGTATATGGTAGATGAACTCGTTACTTGAAATATTTTTAAATGAAATCAAATGGACCATCTCCATACAATGTATCTTAGTTTAGCTATGCAATCAAAAGTATGCATGTTAATAATCTTTAGAATACTTGAATATACATTCCAACAATCAGGTATATACAGCACATTCTTAAGTCAAGATATCATTAGCGGCAAAGAAAATACCTGCTATTCACAGTGAAAGAATCCGCAGTTTCACAAAATGGAAATTCAACATCTAGTCTTATTGTTTCTTCAGTATGGCAATAATGTGGCAAAACTGGCTGACTTTCTGTTAAAAGAAATTGAACCACACATCTTAATGATTTTGTTTGGATGAATTTATCGATAGCATCCATTTTATTTTAAGACTCACTATAATTTTTTCAGGATATGCATACTGCTCCACACAATTCTGCTAACTAACTGAAGCTCCTAATCGCACCATCTGAACAACTAATAATATTTGATGGAATGCATTGAATTTGTTATTTTGTCATCAGCAAAAAACACATAGAAATTCATAAGATAGTTATATTTCATCACAGCATTCATGTTTTAATAAAAGATGGAATTCTATAATAGATAACCTAATATTCCATATTTTTCAAGTTGCTTGTAAGCAATATCCTTCCATCCTTTATTAGCCGCTGGATTGATCGGACTAGGATGCATTATTCCAACTACTGTCACATTAGGAATATTGTTTGATTTAACTACTTCAGCTGCACGCGTTTCTGCAAATTTTCCGATTCCCACTATAATATTTACCTTTAAAAGAATAATAACTTTATGTAATGATTCATCACATATGTTTATCAAACCTTTTTTTATATCTGCTTTCAAATCTGATGGAGTAATATTTTTTGCGGTTGCTGTCATCAGAGAAAATGGGCAATAGTTATGCACATAACAGTTTCTGAAAAAGTTATCAGGTTTGACACAAATTTCTTCTAAAAAAGACCAAAATCTGCTTCCACTAACCTAAAAATTTAAAAATATAATTTTTTAAAATTTTATTTTAGCATAAATTGCTTATTATTAAAAAAATGAAAATGCACATAAAATTTATAATAGATAAATTTAAAAAGTTCATTATATTGCAATATTATTCCTCACACATGGACATGTAAAGATATTGGCATGATTCTATCATAATGCACACACAGAATAGAGTAATAACCCTGATTAACTAAGACAAAGAATTTAAGGTGAGAATGAGAAAATAGACTGTAATGAAAGCTTGATAAACCAAAACAATAAATTTAAAATTATAAACATCAAATAAAAACCATATCCAAAATAACAGACAGAGCCTTAAAATCTGAGACAAATGAAAACAACATACCTGAAGAATAATTTTGTAATGGCAGCTTTGTGAAATAATTATACGGTAAATGGCAAAAATTTTATTGCAGTGCAATAAACACAAAAGCAAACGGAATCGCTCTATTTTTTTTAATATTTTTTACTGTGAAAGACCGAAATTGGAGAATGTCAACACATACCAAATACGTCGGTGAAAGACCAAATATTTGATTATATTCTTGTACATTCGGACCATCACCGGTGTATGTTGACAATCATAGATATACTGTGGTGGAGGTCGAAAAGAGAATTCGAGTTCAAAACAGGGGCGACTGTCTGTCGCCAAATCCTTTGCTCTGCTGTGATTGAAGTTTGTAGCATGTATTTGTTATACTCTGGAACACTGTTTGTCAGTCTTATGCTAAGTTGGATGTTACGCGTAACGTTTTCTAAATTTTTTTTTTTAATCCGATACCCTAATTTATGTTGAATAGATACTGCAGTGAACGTGAACATCTCCTTGAAAAGTTAAATGCATTAATTGCGAGTAAACGAGAAGATAATTGTTTTTATTTTTCAAACTCAGCTTTCAAATGCATCTCTCCTCACCGGGATTGATTATTTCTTATGAAGCTATGTTTGGCATTAAACCAAGAAGAGGAATAGTATCATCTTTTTTGCCTTGCGAACAAATCGCAAATATTGAAACCGAAGAACAACTCTCAAGAAATTGGTAATACTTTTGAAGAAAATCTGAGCAGTGGCCATACTGAAAGCCGTATTTCAAAGAAAAATATTGAAGAGAACCTGCAACCTACCACATCTTCGTATCAAGCCTGGACTGAAAAACACCAGTTAATTTCTATAAAAAGATCAGCCACAACAGGTTACGGATTATGCTGTTCTAAAATTTGCACTCATAATTTATTATTATTTTTCTTGGTACTTAGGTATTATCCTGCTGACTATTGAAAGTTGGCTACCATCAAACCATACAAACTGGTACAAATTTTGTCAAAGTTGTGACAATCGTTCCTGAAAAATTTTAAAGCTGATTCCTGTTTGTTTAATAAACAATCAACATTTGACATGCTTTGTGTTTGTTCTCTTTAAAAAGTCTTTCCTCAATTTCTTATTTTGTTAGGTCCTCTGACTCTAACAAAAGCTCCATTTAGAATGCTATGGATCAATGGCAGCTCGTGGGTTATTTAGCCGCAGATTCACACAACAAATTTTGAATATTAAATATGCAGATTTGACAGGACTTACAAAATAAAATATATAAATACATTTGCATTTTCACAAGAAAAACAATGCAACTAAAAGAAAACAAATTCTCGTTAAAAAATGTATAACATTTAATTTCTTGCAATGGAATGTAAATAAAAACCATAGTATTGCTTACAATACATCTTTGATTGCCGACTGCAAAACGATGAGTACAATTTTGTAAATTAAAACTACTTGTCCTTTTTTTAAGGGAGTGGGCGAGGCAAACAAATCAATAACATTTTCATTGAATTTAAGCATGTCATTTATCATGCTTTTTGCAACTGACAGCATGGCTGGAGCACTTAGTCTGTCCTCATGCATAAAGCTTCTTTAAAATATCTGAACTTCTTTTCTTGTACTCTTGGAATTTTGGCACTTCCAGAAGAAAAATGGCAGAGTAGTGAGAAGTAAAATCAACCTTTTACTTGATTTATAACATCGTATGTATATTTAGCTGCTACAGTTCTATTCATATTAATATTTTCTCTCTTCCTATTTCTTGAGGTTTGATACGATTCCGATACCTTCTCTGTCACTGCATCCATTATCTTCCCTTTTTTTTTCCCCCTCTAATGACTATTTGAAAACATTTACTTGCTTTTTAATGAGTGTTGTATCAATTAGTGCTTTTTGAAACTGATGTATAACACAATGACATGCGGCATAATACTGTGACACACTGTAAGTCAAAATATGAATTCCAAGTCTTCTAACATATGATAAACAGCCTCTGCTTGATTTACTGCTACAGCTTGTTTAGATGTTGACATTTTACGATGCATTATGAAAACACCAGGTTTATATTAGAGAACTTCCGGTTTTTCTAGGAAACAAGCAGCAGTGTCTGCAAGGGCCGCATGTTCCTAAAACGTACTCGCTGTACCTCCTGCTATGAGAGCTGCTTCGCTGCTATTGGTTAGAAGAATTTAGACGCAACATAGAGCTTTCGACGTCATTTGTTTTGTCACTTGGTAAAGCTTCTCGTACTCCAGCCAAAGAATATCTAAGGAGAAGAAGTAAAGATTCCCCGGGGCAAATGTGGCTCCGTCAGACCGAAGAGACACATCATGTATATCCCTGAAGCTTACTTTAAAGGAGCAAACCATTCCAAAGCTATCCACCCTCCGTACCTCACTGCGCATGTGCAGTGAGGTACGGAGCATCAGGAGGCAACAAAGCAGCATCAAAGAATGAGCATGCCGTCGGCCATGTTAGCAATCTTTTACCACGTTGTTCGAAAACGTTCTTTGTTGTTGTAGTCAGAGGTACTTGGTTTTAGCTATGTGAAATTTTTTTAAAGACTTTTTAAATGTAATGCTGTAAGTGAAATGGTTTTGGCTATTGGGTGAAAACTTTGCTCTTGGTTTTCAATGGTCATTCCAAATAATTGTCTAAACGTTTTCATGGTAATTTGTTTTTAAAGTTTTGTCGGATAATTATAATGTATTTCAGTGTTTTCAATTTATTTAGGGGTGCCTTTAATTGTCTTTAAATATTTTTTTTTCTGTTTCAGTTAGTTATTGCAAATTTTGCTTTTAAAATTTCACTGTAAAATTTTAACTATGGATCCATAAAAATTTATTACGTTTTGTATGGCATGTGTTTTCCCCCTTTTTAAGTTTACAGAAGAAAAGAATTAAGAAATTTATTTCATTTAAATTTTGTCTTCGTACGGCTTGCTGTTTAAATTGAAAGTAAAAATTGGACAGGATTTCTATAATTCGCCCCAAAAGTCCAACTAACATCCTTTTGCTCATAAAACTCCAGAAATGTAGGAAAATAAAACATTTTGAGTTATTTCAAAGTAAAAAATTTACTATCTCCTCGAACTGCGCTGTTTAAATTTCACCCTGCGCTGGTGTTTCACTGCATAGCCGTGGCTCTTCGGTACAGCGGCGCAGAGGCGAAACAGGTTTACATTGCGTCTATGGAAGCTTTCATTCTTCTCCTTAGAGATTCTTTGCTCCAGCCATGCTTGTTCGGATCGGATCGCATACAGCGGTTATGTTTTAATCCTTTACAAAAATCAGTTAAGAAGTCAGAGGTGATTTTATCTACAACTGAATTAATTCATATGTTAATATATATTTTCACTTTATGCAATACACACTTGAGAAATACCGGATCATTACAAAGGAAGGAAAATGGGTTATTTGCTTGAGAGGGTTATATCCATATTGCATTTTGCTAATGGAATGTTGGAAAAACAATATGTAACATAGTTTATTTATCTATATATATTTATCTATAACATAGTTTATTATCTTTTATCGTGATACAACCACATTTTTAAGAACAAGATTACAAAGTTTACAATTATACACCTAAATTTATCTCAGTTTTCACTCTGAGATGGAATCCCAGGAAAAATATTGTTAATGATGGACTAGATCAAAGTAGTTATATAGAGAAAGCACACGTGGGATCTTTTCCTTTACTGAATAACATTTGCCAGTCAATTTACAGCAAAATATATATGCCTACATTGCCTAATGTCCATTAAATTAAATGTAACCTTTGAATCGCTCTTAATATTATTCTTGTTTTAAAAGTAACTATTGTCAGTTAATTCTATCAGTAACCTTTAGTATGCATTAGGTAGTAAGGAATATACTTTTTAGACACATAAACATTGCTTGGATTATCCTAAATTTTCATTTTATATTTTAAAATACACAGTGTCATTTCCATTATCTATTTCTACTTCATTACCTTTTTTTTTTTTTTTTTTTTTTTTTTTTTTAAAGATGGGGATGATCTTGTGTGACAAATTGCATTTTGAATGTATTTTAAATTTACCATTAATATTTTAAACTACATTTTGCACCAATATTTATGTTTGCTCTCCCATTAAGGGAAACAAATATAATAATATAAGTTATTAAATTAAAATTCCTGTGTTTAATTCCATCTTTAACAACAGCCATAAAATATATGGAATTTACATTCTTACCACAGATGTGGTAAGTCATGAACTCATTGGCACTGAAAAGTCATGAACTCATTGGCAACTTTGAAGAGCATTTGCAAACTTGTTGGTGAGTTAGGATGTTTGCATATCTTTAAATTTATTTCAACGATGCATCCACCACCACCTATTGTTTTACATTCTTCAATACAAGACACGCACAATTCTAGGCTTTTTTTCACCGTTGTTTTTCCCTATAAATCTTTTTAATAAAAAAAAAATCAGAAAATTGCAAAATTTTGGCACCAGAATCCTAAAATGAGAAAGGAAAGAGAGGCATGTGATGCCTTTTATGTTGTATGCATGCAGAAAGCAACATCGCCAAAGATTTTACCAGAGACAACAGAAACTGCGGTATGTGGTCCACCCGAATGCTGAAGTACTGAAATTCCCATAGGAGGGATCATAATCTGCAACCACACTGGTGAAAATATCT